TCTTTTTCTTGACTTGTTGCCTTTAAAAATCTTCATAATAAAATAAAATTTGAGAAAATTTATACATAAATTAATTATATAATTTATGTACATCAATTATAATAAAATATAAATAATCTTCAATCAAGAATACATACATGAGCATAATACAACTCGAATCGACGACCTCTTTTAGAAAAAAGAAATATCAATCATATACGGTTTGAAATGTATTTAGTCATTTATTTGGAGAATGTAGATAATAAAAGACATATCGCATATAAAATTAAATTTTAGTAAATTCATACATGAATTAGTTATATGATACATATACATCAATCATAATAAAATATAAATATCTTCTAATCAAAGATGCACACGTGAGTAGAGTATAACTCGAATTCGTGGTCTCTTATAAAGAAAACGACATACCAATCATATGCAGTTCAACTCAACGAGGTTAGCATCTTTCCTATTATTTGGATCAAACTTCACTTACTAATATCAAGTACCAGGTCTACAACTCTATAAAATCACCATATAATTATTTAAAAAATCCAAAACTCAGTGGAAAATCATTGAAAAATCTTGTTGATCTCACATGGAACGCTTACAAAGATTCAAGCATTTCTGAGGAAGAATAATCCTCCAAATCAACTTAAGAACATCCATGAAGGTAGCAGAGAATGCAGCATACATCGGAGATTGTGCGATAATAAACAAAATGATGGGAAAGAAAGCAGCAACATAATTCAATATCTTCACCAACTCGTGCTTAGGCCGAACAGTGAGAAATATGTTCGCAATGAAAGTAGCCATGGCTGTTGTCACTGAGAAAAATAAGAAGTTAAATGCGAGAGTAAGCTTCCATGGGAGATTACTACGGAAATCCTTGTGCTCGTTCGATGAAGTGAGGATCGAGAGGAAAAGAACCAGAGAGATTTGAGAAGTGGCCAAAGAGGTAACATCCATGACAGTAAAAAAAGAGTAAAGAGGCTTATCCAGGAGAATTGGAAGACCTTCTCTATTAGCAACTTCTTTAGAAAGTAGCCTTTTAGTACTAGTATCATTTTTCTCAGAATCGATTTTGGATTCTCCTCTGAATCCTCCAGGGACCCCAAAAGCCACAGCAAAAACTACCGATGCCACCAGTTGAGCAACTGCTGAGCATGACTGTGCAATATTCGATATCCATTTTTTCGCCTCTTGGTGCTGATCCTTGTGCATTTCTTTGAAGAGCTCCTCTGCTGTTAGGCCTTCATTATTTTGATGCATTACATAATGGGAAGGAATTAATTGTCTCACTCTCTGCATGTATAAACACAGACCAGAGTTATATAAAACTTAATGTAGTATCCCAGATCCTTATGTCCAAGATAATCTCGGAATCAGTACTAAGTCTTTATTAAATATAAGTAATTTTATTAATTGTTGGTACGTTTCTTTTTTTAAAAGAAATTATAAATTTAAGTTAAAATGTATTCTATTGCGTTACGGGTGATATTTATATAACATTTAATTCATGAACGTATGAATTTTTACTTAAAAAATGATATTATAGGTAAAATACATCATCTTATAATCATGTACTTATCAAATAATAGAAAACTAGAATAGTGATCAAGTAGGATTGAGAGCTGACCTCAAACCATCTCAATTCCTCTTGCAGCTGCCATGCTGCACCAGGTCTAGTTCCTCCGGAGAAATATGATGTATCGGCAGCATGATGCAGTATCGAGTAGCCACTGTTGTCGATTATGGTAGTTAATTTTCCCACTTCTGTTCCTAGGTTCTCTAAATGCTCAAACACTCCCAGCTGACGGTACATGATGGCTACATGAAGTATGTTCTGTCCATTTCTACTAACATGATCTATGGCTTGAGGATATCTCAAAAGTATCTCTGTAACTATTTCTTCGATACCATTGCTGGCTGCAATGAGCAACGGTGTATCAAGCAATGAGCTTTTCTTTTTCTTCTTAGCGGATGCTATTGTTACCGATGTAGATTCTTCTACTCTTCCATATTCTTCTATATAGATTGTGTTGTCCAGTGTTTCATGTGTTAGAGCCCAAGAATGATCTATTTTCACTAGCTTCCTAGCCAGTTTCTGGGCTAATTCGTGCTTCTGCTTCATTTCCTGGGTTTCGGAAATTTTCTCCCAAACTAACCATGATCGAAGCAGATATTTTGTGTTACTTTCATTTGTGGGTTTTTTTTTTTTTTAATTCAAGCTATAAATGTTCTAAATTTCAAAATAAAGAGGATGGGACATACCATAGCCTAAGAATCTCCATAAGTCACAGTACATCCTATATATGACTGCAGTTCCAAAAAAGTTCAATTAGAAAATTTTTCATATAAAACGAAAAAGCAGAACAGATTACTAATCACCTCTATAAGGAATTGATCTCTGGACAGATTTTTTAAATGAATTTGATCGAATTCCACGCTCTATATCTTCTCCTTTTTGTGAAAGAGGCTGATCAAATTCATCATCATCATCGTCATAATCATCATCATTACTCTCTCGTAAGTTGCTCGGAAGACCTGCAATAGTAAAATGCTTATGACTTAGATTGACATCATATAATTCTTATGTCAATGTGAATCAGAAGTCTTCGAGTTAGATTTGATCCTCACAGATATATACGAACAACTTCAGTCCCTTGATTTGAGAAGAAGATTTAAAAGCTTTTGGCATGCTTGCTAGGAGCTGCAAACAAGTCATGCCACTTTTTTCCTTCAACAGGCCAAGTGTCCTTTCTCTTTTCAGTAACCAAAGAGCTGTATCTGAATGGTCGGGAAAAAAAAAGGAACGGACAGCATGAGCAAAACATGTAACGGTAAGCTGGAAATCTATAAAATTTTGATCAATTTGAGATTCATATGTGTGTGTATATATATATATTTACCAAAATGTTGGCCAATGATAGCAATATGCAAAATAGAGATTTGATCATTTCTGTAGTAGTGTTCTCTTATATCACCAACATGTTCAACCTCTTTAACAAGATACTGCAACATCTTTTTCCTACCATTTGCTGCAGCTCTAAATAATGCAGTTTCACCAAAATTGTTCCGAAGCTTTAGTAAATTTCTCGTTCACGAATATCTTTTTCTTGAACCGAAATCTTTCCATCTTTACGAGCCAGTAGTCTCCCAACCAGGAGTCTGCAGCCTTGACATGTCAGTGGTAGCAACTCATGAAGAGGAGTGTTTCCATGGATATCTTTCTGGGTGAGGACTTCTCGTACATCGATTTCTTGAGGGAGCATTTCGAAGAGTGTTTGAAGCATTTTTTCATTTCCTTTATAGGCTGCAATGTGGAAATGAGTGTCCCTGGAAATTGTCAGAATATCAGACAAGGTTTTCCCAGGTTTGGTCTTGTAGAATTCCTTCATGGATCCAACATCTTGTTTCAGAGCAGCTTCATACGGAACTTTTATCTTCGTAAAATACTCCGGTGTTTCGAGGATTTCTCCCCTGATTTCAACAGTCTCTTCCCCCATTTCTCCTCCTTTGTGCATCTGAGAAAAAGTACTTATTTAGCAATATGGTTACAGAATACAGCAAGCCAATGATGTAGCTGGGTTATATATCTATATATACACAATTCTCAAGTGCAGGGAACAAAAAAAGTGAAATGGTATTTCTACTTTGCTTGATTAAACAATAAAGAATGGCCAAAAAAAGATAAAGTAGGAAGAAGAATATAATAAAGCTGAAGTTGTTCATAAGTTCCTTACTACTTGGGTGCAAAACACTTTACAATGTACAATGTGAATCATGTTTAGGGGCTATTATCAAATTAGTCCTTAAAATTTAGTGCTTACTACAATTTGGTCCCTAATAATTCTTTTTTGTTACATTTTGGTCCTTACCGTTTTTTATTTGTTTCGAATGTTTAGTTTTCTTCCCTTTTCTAATGAAAAAAAATAACTAAAAAAATGTACCTAATGTTATTATTACTTTATTAAATCTATTAAATCAATAATAAAATTAATTTAACCTATCTCATTCATTTTACCTCGTCGTACATTTCTTCGTCTCGATTTCTTATTTCCTCTTACCTATTTTCGTTCTTTTTTTTTCCGTTAAATTTTGTCTATTTCTAAACCATCTGCAGAACAAATTAGTTTTCTTTCTATTCATCCTACATGAAGGTTCCAATTTTGTTGGGCACATGGTTGTTTAAAGCAAAAGGGTTGTGCCACATATGAATTATCTGGTATTCCATGAACTCTATAGAGGAGAATATGTGCTAAATGAGTTGCAAGGCTCTAGCAAAGTCAAGTTTTAAAGATATATTTTGGGACAAATGGAAAAATTTACTGAAATTTATTTTTAACTTCATATTTAATTTAATTAGAAGATTTTATAATTTTTTTTTTTTGTATAGAATTCTACGTGAATTTGAAAGAATATACTCAAAATTCCATCAATTTTGATAGAATTTAAAATATATTGTTTTAATTACACGTGAAATTTTATTTAATATCAATTCTTTCACTTTCGAGCTAGTATGAATTTGTTAGTTAATTTTGCTAAATTTCTATAGTATGATTCGATTTAGCCTAGTTGTGCTATACATAACAAGGCAAGTTTGCAATTATCTGTTTCAAGGATGAGAGTTGTAGAACACAAATTGAAATTTTCAGCAGTAAAGAATAAAATGAAGGGGACAGGAGGAGAAAGGGAAAAAAAAAAAGTTCATAGTATACTATTTATTACAGCTTAATCTTCTTTAATGTTTAATCCAACATGTATCTGTAGTAGCAGCGAACTGCTGAAGGAAGGATATCCTACCATATGAGTTTATAAAATTCATATTATGCATAAATATATTATACATATATCACTGTGTAGAATGAGTTTGGTACCAGACTGAAGGAACTGGTGTGTTTATGGTGTTATAAGGGAGCTGCCCTCTTTGACAAGCACAAAGACGCTGCCAGCATCACCCCTAGAAATTCTAAGCTCTTCGTCAAGGTAAGTAGTCAGTAGCCACGATTGAGCATTGCTATTCGAGAGAGAGAATTTCAGTGGTGGTTGACTAGAAATAGTCTTTGCAACAGATGAAGCCGTGTCTTGAACCGAGGTGATTAAGCCTTTGATGGGTGTGAGATCAATCTTTTGCCCCAAAAATTCCACATTTTCTGGAAATACTATGGAATCTGTCAGCTGGGGAGTTCCAATGATGCCTTCCTCGAACTTGATCTACAACCAGAAAAGAACAATAACAGCCATTTAGAGCTTTCCTCAGAGCTAAAACTGCTCCATGGACTTGAGACTAGCAAACAGTAACTTTCAACACAATTTCATAGGAAATAGACAATGGCACAGGACTTCCATAGACAAGCATCAACAATTTGAGTCCATGCAAGGGTTTTTTGTCAAGAGACCATTTGAACAATCCTTTTCCTGGTTCACTGGGAAGTAAATGAACACTTCTTTTTCTTTAGGTAGTGCAAGGGGAAAAACACTTAAACGTGTCAACCACTACTATTTAAAGTTATATGCATGAAAAAGATAATAAAACAGAAAGGGAAAGAAAGAAGAACCTGCACACGCTTTGGACTTCGAACTTCAAATTTGGCATTGGTGCTAATGGAAGTCGTAGCCAGTGGTCCAGAAAACTGAACAGAATTTTGAACAGTCAAATTCTCTGAGTCAATAGTCTGAGATATTTCTTCCACTTTTACTAATGGCAGATTACCCCTTGACAACAATGGAAACAGACCTGCAAAGGAGGTGTACCTGCATCGCCACAAATTTAACGTCATTTAGTATATGTTAATAGCATGATAGAAGCTTAAATCTTAACCATAATAGTAGTCCTTGTTCCATTTCCAGAGAAATTACAATCTATTACCGACACCCAAGAATCCCCCTTCAAGAAAATTAATGACAACAACCTTATGCCATATCTCTGTATCAAGATCATTGTCGCAAGAAAGTTGAATAGATGATAAGAGTCCTATTACAATCTTACAAACAGAAAGAGAGGAAAGTAGTACCAGAGAAAGTCACAACATGATGTTGAAGAGTGGGAAAAATCTAACATAACTTGCCATAACTTCGCACTATGACACAATTGATACCATTGAAAGGTGTATTTAAAGAATTTCAATGGTAAACATAGAGTCCAAGCACGAAAAATGAAAGCAAATCAGGGGAGACTACACTTTAGAAAACTAGACACATTAATCTTGATGGGCTTACCCCTGGTTAGTGAGGGTAAAAGCTCAATCTTGCTACTACTAAAGCTATCTCCTTCAACTGTTTCTCCTGTTACTTTTTCGAATCTAAATCTTACTTCAATGATTAAGTGATATTGATTTTCAGTTTTACAAAACCTAATCTTCAAAAGTAATCAAGATACTCAGCACGAAGACACCACAGATTTCAAGCTGCAAGTCGATGTCATCGTGTTAACATCATGCTGTACCGCAGCCACCATAATAAACTCTCTACAAACTTCAGTAGCCATCTATAAAAAATCATTTCCTATTGAAAGGAAAACAAAAAAGCAAAGCTTCATCATGACGTATTTTTCTTTGGCCAAACAACGGATCAGCAGGACCAATTGAATGACATATACACTAAAGTAATTAAAATTAAATATTTCTAAAAAAAATTCACTTTAATTTCGATTAAAAAATTCCTTTCTCCACTCAGATTTCCAGAAACCAAAACGAAACTTCAATTGCAATTTTTACTTGAGTTATTCTTCTAAGGAGCTTACGCCAGAATCCATTTGCCGTTGAGCATAGACAGTGCCTCAGTTGGTGCAGGAGTCGGGTTCTTACTCTCCAGCTGCGTGATAAGCTCCACGATCTCCGCTCGTGTCTCGCTCGTCGCGCTTAATCCTCGATTCGTCCCGTACAACGAATCCACCAGCGCTTTCTTCAAGCGAGCAATCTCGGACACTTCCACCGCACTCTCCTCGTCCGGTTTCTCCGCCACGGAGACCGCCGAGCCCTCATCCTTCTCCGGACCCCATTCATCGTCCAACGCGGTCCGGATCTTGAATTCGGGTCGGACACGAGCAATATCTCGCGTCAAACCCGAGGGTCTTTGATTGATCGTGCCGAGATGGAGGAGAATTGAACGGTTGGGAGCTAATTTAGGGCTTATTAGAGGATTAGACGATAGATTTTTGCAGGAAAAGTTACAGAATTGAGGGACAGTCGCCATTGTTAGAGAAACTCGAAGTAGCAAAGCAAGTCACGTAAATGGAATCGACAAGAAAGCTAACTAATTTGTAAGTAGAGGGTGGGGATGAATATAAATACAGAGAGACCATTTTGTCCCGACTTAGACAGGGACCACCAATGTATAGCCCATGGGTAAAATAGGAATTTCAGCTTCAAAGAGAATACAATGTAATTAGCAGATATTCTCCCGATCTCCACGTTTAACTGATGCCACGTGGATAAGACAATATTGTGGGGCCCGTGAGATGGAAAACGGCAAATGGAAAGTGTGTGACGGTGTTAATGTGAGGTGAGGAAGGTTTTCGGATTTGGCGGAGGAACACGCAAACGGCGCGTGTGAGTCGTCTAGAAGCTTCCGTTGTATTTTGGAAGGGTTGCGTTTGTGATTCTCCATGGCTTTTGATTGGTGGAGGCCAGCAAAATATCTTCTTTTTTTTTTTTTAATTTCTATTGCGCCAAAAAAATGTCCAAATTGTAATCTCCAACTTATTTTATATATATATATATATATACAAATGTGTAACGTATTAAGAATTTTATGGATGACTCCTTATATATATATATATATATAATAAAAATACTCTTTTAATAGTCATATACGTAATTCATAGCAATAAACATTCAAATATTACAATTATTTTTTAGAATTTAAACGAATCACGTAATACTTTTAAATTTTCATAATCGTGCTCGATTATTTATATTGTCCTTCATACTAATTTCACTTATTTAGACATCGAAACAAATTATTAGACAATAAATAAAGAATAATTAATACACGTAAAATTATCTCAGTTACCCATAAAACTTTTCGTTCATATTCGATCATATTAATCAATGTCGTTAACGAAAAATGATTGTTAACGTCTTACCCTATTTGACATTGAGGGAAATTTTAAAAAATATTATACATGAGATATATAATTTGAATTCAAATTATTAATTCTATTATAAAAATACGATGTCATTTAAGTTAAAATATTAGTATTTTAATATACAATAATAATATACGACGATATAATTTTTTACTCGACAAGATAATTACCGGAAAAACTAATAATTTAGTGAAAATATAAATTGAAATTTAATTTGCCTAAGATAAATTTGAATGGTTGGGAAAAAGAGAATATAAACTTGACAAAGCATCCACATTCTCAAACCAAAAACTTGGGCTTAATCAAAATACTCTTTGGATTAGAACTTAACCTTTTGAGGCCCATCTCTTGGCCCATCATTGGGGCGGACCAACACTAAGATGGAATAAGCCCGCTAATATGCCCAATGTCCCCGCTGCAATATGACGAGAGGCTATTCCTCCTCGAACAAAAGGATCGTAACCTTATACGCCCCACGTCGAATTTACAGGTTATACCTTTCCGGTTAGTCCATAAGGGTCGAACACCCATATTCAAAGACTATATAATCCTGTTACATGAAATACGTCAAATTCAAAACAAGTCATTCATGAAAAAAATAAATGAATTTCAAATATATAAATATATATATATGAATTAGCAATTTACTTCACTTATTTTTCTAATTTTTTATTATTTTTAAACTCAATATTAATGGTTTTGTAATGTTTTAAAGTGAATAATCTTTTTTTTATAAATATTTTTATAAACCGAATTTAGTTTACATTCTCGTGAATTGAATTGAGTATTCTCGTAAATTGATTTGAATCCATACATTCGTACAGAATGATGGTAATATATAAATTTGTTTAAAGTTAATTTTGAGAATTAAGTTTTTGT